TGGTGCGATCTCATTGATGGGTTTTGACCAGATTTTGACCAAAGAGGAACTCAAAAAAAACAAAACAATTTAAATACACAACCAGCATATCTGGAATCAGTGACAGAGAGCGACTGGGACCAGAAGTTTATTAATTTCTCCCCATTGATTTCCATTCAAAATGTTTTCGGTCCCTCTAGGGAAGGGGCGTGCATACCGCCACCTACTGTTCATGAGTGTGTAGCAACATTGTTTTACATCTATTAAATTCTATTTATTATTTCTTAACACCAAGTCCCCGATGTTCGTAGGGGTACATTTTCCCATGAGACTGGGATGGTTTTTTTATAGAAAGGAAAAAAATGACATGAAATCAAAGCAAACAGTGAAAATATAACTGCATGTTTGTAGCTACGGTTATAACACAGGCAGCTAGTTTATCAGGACACATGTAAAGCCACAAAGTTATGGAAACACCAAAAGTTCACAGGTGAAAAAAAAATCCAGACTTTCCAAAAGTTACATATTTATAAACAGAAAATCTGAATAATTTATAAAAATGTATCGCCCAGCCCTAATTTCATGATATATTTTGGCCCTCCATATACCTCAGGAATTGTGAAACCATCTTGTGACCTTTCATTTAGTGCCTGGTGACCCCCCCCTGGGGACCCTCACTTTGGGAATTCAGGACAGCACAGAGAACAAGAACCATTTATCCACTCAGAAAGAAGCAGGCCAGGATTCAAACCTGACACCTTCAGGTTTTATTGTAGCATGGCTGCACTGGAAAAAATGCTTGTCTGGATCTTAATTTAATTTATTTGTTATCATAATGCAGAAATATAAAACAAAACTAAAAAAACTTTGGAGAAGAATGTTTTGAAAAGTATTATATTAAAAAAACAGATAAGCAAGTCGAGAGGAAAAATGTATTTATCATACTTTAGCAAACATTATTTGAATTTTTGCTGAATCAGGTTTGATAAAATCCGGACCATCTAAAACCTGCCGGTACTGGAGGACTGACTTCAGACACCCCTGGTTATACAACTACATCTCCCTTGATCTGAGTTGCTAAGTAAGACAATTTTGCATTGGAGTTCAATGATTTACCTTTAAAATAAGAAAAACAACCGCTCATTTGTGGTATGCAGAGAAGAGATTGACTGGCACAGGTTTTTTAAGGCCGATCCCTGAAATCCTACATTGCTTTATCTTCCTCTATTTACATGAAAAAAATTACACAAAATCATAACAATTGTTACACAAGTCTCAATTTAAACACTCCATTAAATTGAAACGCTGTTTTTTTTTTTTACATTGGGCCCTTGATTTTACGTTATTACTCTATTCTATTATTCTATTACTATTCATGTTCTACTCACCCATATGAGTTTCGTGTCATTTGGAGCTGTTCTGATGACGTCATACACACTACGCTTTTTAAAAAAAAGATATAAATATAAAAAAATATAACTGCGGATGTCTGGGGGACAGTGATTCGCATACATGTTATGAATGCTGGCGTACCATAAATGATAAATTATGAACAGTTTAGTTTGTGTCTTCAAGTAACCTAACGGAATATCTTCAGAACAGCTCCAAATGACACAAAAACGGCGTTTCCATTTAACAAATCAACCAAAACATTACCAATGGATTAGGGGTCAATATTGACATGGGTGCTGCGATATAATGCATGTGACAATAATTGGGTCATGATACGATATTTTCACGATACTGCTATATCATTGTATATGTCAATATATTTTTTTTAGCTATCAAAATTGAATGTATAGATAAACAATAAAGTGCTGTAAATGTTCATCAGAACATATTGATCATTTAGTTATATTTGGTTTCCATGTTGTTTTGGGTTTGAGTTGGTCCTCGTGTTTCACTACGACTGCCTCTGCTTTAGATGTGGTTCTGCGACGCACAGCAAAAGGGCTCTACAGCGCCATCTGCCAGAGTGGATGTGCAGAGGTAGCCCATTTTCCCTCATTGTTTTAGGTAAAAATGTTTTTTTTTGTTTTTTTTTTTGAACTAATGTTAAAACTGAAAGATTGATAATAAATCGGGCAGCCGAAAATAACGATATATCAGCAAATAATTTTTTTCCAAAACCCCTACATTGATAGACATTGAAGGGAGTAAAAATACATGCGCTTTGTGGGAACTCAAGGCATGGCTACTGAACAATAAATGCAATTTTTTTGAGTAATGCAAGAAAAAAAATCAAATATCAGCCGGCCGATTTATCCGTCACTAATTTAGAATGTCGAACAATAAAACGTTACAACTAAAGGTCTCCATCAAAATCTGTTAAAGGAGTCATAACGTGGTATTTTATATCGGGAATTGTCTTTAAATTCATGTTTAATCACTTGTAGTTTCAAATAGAAGGGTACAAATAGAAATGAGCAACATTATTGGTTAGCAAGGGTTAGTTTACTATCATATCCTCTTCAGATATGATGGTAAATAGTTTACCATGATATCCTCTTTCATCTTAGGTAAAACTTTACACAAACAGTGAAACATACCAGCTGTCTGCAGGTGAGTCCCGGGCCACTTCTCAATGCACAAGATTACGTTTTAAGAATTTCATTCTTTTTCAAATTGCATTTCACAGATAGAATTCTCTTCACAAACCCCAACTTCACAAAACCCAACACAAACACTCGTTCATGACCAATAAAAATGTTGCTTCTCTTGTCCATGCAGATCAACAGAAAGGCATTATTTGCTCCTCACTTCAGAGTAAAGCTCGCCCCCAAAAATAAAGAAAATCACATCTGTAAAATTTCCTTCATCCACTCTCCATCTCTCTCAGACATTGACATCAAAATGTTGGCAATGAAACTCTAATTGAAGAATTCAGACCCAAACATCCACATTTAGTGTAATAACAAAGCCAAGGAGCTGTCATGGAGTAAAATGAATGCAAGTCTTACTGTTGGAGGAGTTTTGATGAACTTTCTCTCCAGTTTCTGTTCCAGATGTTATTTCAATAGTAGCTGGATCCGTTTCTGTTCCGTTTTTGATGAAGCAACATCAAATTAATCCAGTGAACCCTGGATGCCAACATGTTTAGTGACTATCAGCTTGTCATGAGCCAATAAAAATGTCATTTATAATTGTGGAGTTGCATCATATATAATAATGTGAAATCAATGCAGTAATTTCGTAAAAAACTAAGTTTGGATAACAGCCGACCGATTACGCAAGACTCCTACGTCAGTCTGGAGCACTCGTAGAATTTGCCTGAGAGAAGAATAGAAATAAAGAAAATGCAACATTTTCTCCTAAATCAGAAATATGTTTGTATAAACATTCCTGCATGAGGCCCAAAGAGTTGATGGAATCACCTGGATTTCCTTGGATAGAAACTTCTGACTGTATGATCTGGTTGAATTCTGTCTGTAAATTACCTTAGGTGTATCTTAGTACCTCATGTGTTGTAAATTAGCGTTATATTAATAAACTGGATTGTTTTAAATTAAATTAATTTGGAATAAACTCCCAGAAAACATTGAAATTGCGGAAACACTGCTGCTAAAAAAATATTGATTGCAAACCTAGTAGTTTAGAGCAAACTTTGACTGAACTACCTAAACCCTGGTGGTTTAAGTTTTTGGTCTAAATTTCTTAAATTTTTTATCTGTAATTTCATCTTCTTTAATTTAACTGAATCTTTATGATTATTTGTCTTTATGCCACTGAAACTTAGTTTGGTTCTGTACAGTACAACTCTTTGAATTGTCATGCTCCTGAAATCTGTTCTAGAAAGAAACTAGTTTTATTTTACATTAGAGCAGAAGTCGGATCCAGTTCTTTTATTTTTAACCTCTTCTAACCTGTTTATCGTGTGCAGATCTAACAAAATGCCCTAATATTTCTTAACACCAAGTCCCCGATGTTCTTAATGACAATACCTGGTTTCTGCAGACTGCAGACGGCCTCGGATATAGCTGGTTATAAATCTTTTACAGGGCAGATTAGGGCAGTCCAGGACTGGAATATTTTCCATGTTCGTGTTTCAGGGAATTTGTCCATTAAAAGCTGTGACCATTGCTCTGCCTTCCCTATTATTTCCAGCTGATTAAGCAAGCGGTTGCATCTGGAGGAAGGAGAAGTGAAGGGCAGTGTGCAGCAGAGCGTGGTCACAGGGAGCAGACATCCAACATGGCAAACATTTATTCAGATAGTCGCTACTTTACTCACATGATTAGCTGTAATCGGGACCTTATATTTAATTTTTTTAACTCCCATGCACACCAGTGAAACCTTTAGAATTTGTTTGCTAAAGTTCTACTTCAAAAACTTTAAACCACCTTTTTCTACTTGTGTAACCTGAACTTGCTCTGAACTTTTTTCCTCCCTCTGTGTCACCAGTTTGCTCCCAGTTTTCCCGGGGAGTTTACGCCATATTCGGCTTCTACGACCGAAAGTCCATGAACACGCTGACCTCGTTCTGCGGCGCCCTGCACACTTCCTTCATCACACCCAGCTTCCCCATCGACGCCGACGTGCAGTTCGTCATCCAGATGAGACCCAGTTTGAGGGGAGCCGTGCTCAGCCTGCTGGATCACTACAAGTGGGAGAAGTTCGTCTATCTTTACGACACTGACAGAGGTGAGCGTGCCCCTTCTGGGAAAAACAAGGCTGCAAACTGATGCTCTGGAGCACCAGATGCGCTGTGGCTGGGAAAAAAACAACAACAAAAAACATTTGGTTCAGGGAGAGAAGAAAAAACTGCTTCCGACCAAAACCAGCTGAAGAAGTTCTATTCCTCCCTCTATATGATCAGGCTTTAATATGTAAATCCCTCATCCCAGTCTTCATTTTCAGCAGTCAGATACGTTTTATTCTCTGGCAGTAATAACCCTAATTGCGTCTGTATGTGGGTGAATCCTGCTCAGAGAGGCACTCAATACTTCCTTGCTTCTGGTACATGAGTCATTCACAGGTGCTGCCGTAGTTCGTCTGCAGCAGTCTCAGTCTGTAATCCACCCAAAAAACATAGAAAAAAAAACGAACAGATTATGATTTGGCTCTAATTGGATTAGGTAAAGGAAGTGTGCAAAATCCTCAGACTTTTTCAAAGCGCTCTCTGACGCTCTTTGTGTGGGCCACATCTATACAGGGATGAAGGCTAGAAGGGTCATCATCAGTAGGCGTTAAGAAACAGCAGAATGGTCCATTAGAATCCTTAGATCTGAGGTTCATTGGCTGAAATGATGCACAATCGTGTTGAAATGAAAGAAAAATATCTTTAATTATGATTATTTGTTTTGTTTTTGCCATGAATTAAAATTACTTTGTTGACTGTTGCTTGTTTCACACCTTGTATACATCTAGACATGCTGATGGCTGATTCATTGATGTTTAGGGAAGACTGCAAACAGGCAGTCTCTGTTTACTGTGAGCAACACAGCATTCAGTCAGAAACAGATCACTGAAGGTCTCCTACTTAGAAAGATAGGAGAGGTCTGTGATTTTCAGGCTCACTTCAGCTATGAGAAACAAAATAAATAAAAAAATCCAGGAAATCACAGTTGGATTTAGAAACAATTTATTTTTAAATAACGTTGAATAAAAGAGGAAAACAGTAGACAAAGAAGCCAGGCGTCTGGCCCTCACAGACCTGTAACTGCTTCTTTAGGAAGCTCGTCTGTCCTCCAATCATCAGCTCTATTAATGAGACCTGGTTGAAGTCCTTATCTGTATAAAAGTCTACAACCTTGAACATTCAGACTCCAAACTTAACCAAAGAGTTGCTGAAGGGCATAAGGATGAAAACTGCAGATCTTCACCAAGCTGGGAAGACGGAATCTACAACAGGAAGCAAGTAGATGGAAAGAAATCAACTGTGGGAAAAGTTGATAAAAAAAAAAAAAATGGAAGACCTCCAAAACCACTAATAATCTCCCTTCATCTGAGGCCCCATGCAAGACCTTATTGAAATCAAAAAAGCTTCCTGGATGGGAAGCAAAATATCTTCAAACTTGAAAACAAAGTCCAGTGGACTGTTTTTAACTTTTTTTGGAACCTCATCCTGTGGGTTAAATTGATCATGAGAACGAAGAGCAGAAGGCTCATGGAGGGACCTGAATGAGCTGCAGAGCGCAAAGGAACAAAGGCTACCAACAGGAACAATGTAAGCGTCCGTCTGAAGTTTGCCATAGCAAATATGGATGATTCATAAGAGGATTAGGAGAATGTGGGGTCAGGTGGAACCAAAATAGAAGTTTTTGAGCACAAACAGGACATCCCAAGAACAGCAAACGTGCGGTGAAGCATGGAGGTGGAAACATCATGCTTTGGGGCTGTTTTGTAAATGGGACAGGAAGACCGATCCATGTTAAGAGAAGAATGAATGGAGCCATGAATGGTGAGATTTAATCCCAATCCTCGTTCCATCAGTGAGAGCTTTGAAGATGGAACAGTGCTGGGTCTTCCAGCTGGATAATGAGTTAAACACAGCACTCAGACAACAAAGGAAGAGCTCCATTAAAAGCATTTCAAGGTCCTGGAAGGCCTTTTCTAGTCTCCAGGCCATCACCTTATAGAAAATCAATGGAGAGAGTTAAAAGACGGTGTTGTCCAGCAAGAGTCACAAAACATTACTGCTGTAGAGAAAATACAAGCTACAGTTTGAGCAAACCTGGAGAAAACTGACAGCAAATGTCTGACCTCTGTCATCACCAACGAAGGTCAGTCTTGTGCACCTAATGCTTATTTTCTATCATAATTTACAGAAAAAAATATTTAAAAAAAACAACGGTCTAATTTTCTGTATTTTTTCCTCTTTTTGCTTCTAACAGTTGAAATGAAGCTATGATGAAAATTACAGACCTCTCATCTCTCTAAGTAGGAGAACTTTAACAATCAGTGGCTGACTAATTACTTTTTGCCCCCACTGTAACTAGGAGCTGATTCCTATTTGGAACATGATTTCATTCAACCACCCACCCGCCATGCTGTGAAGTGCTTTTAGTCTCACTGCCAGACTGCTGTGGATGCTCCATCATGACACTCACAATGTTTTAATAAAAAGGCCTTCATTTTTCGCTGAGGTTAGTTACCTCACAAGGTTCATGAAACACGTTCCCAGAGCCAGTCTAAGCACCTGCGGATCAGGTCGCCTCCCCATCTGACTTTCGCACAATCCTCTCTGCACTGGTTCCCCCTGCAGGTGGGCCCACTGGGGGATGGCCTCGTGTTGCTCCTTCGGGCCCCTTCCCCGGCCCGGCTCCACCATACTGGGGGATGACCTGTCCCTCGATTTCTTGGTCTTCATAAGGGCTTTTTGAACCGCTCTTTGTCTGACTGATCTGATCCTTTCTTCCACATCGAAATGAGTCAGCTGAGGTGACTCGGACATCTTTGTCAGATGCCCCCTGGACGCCTCCCTTGGGAGCTGTTCAAGGGATGCAGGACCATGTCTGTCAGCTGGCCTGGGAGCATCTTGGGCTTCTCCCATTAGAGCTGGAGGAGGTGTCTGTGGAGAGGGAAGTCTGGGAGTCTCTACTGAGACTTCTGCCCCCGTGACCCGGTCCTGGTTAAAGCGGAAGATGAGACACAACGGTTCATAAAACAAGGGGAAAATCACAGCTTTGTGTCTGTAAATTCAACAGTTAATAACATGGTCTCCTATGTACTTTGATTGGAGGAATAGAGAAACTAGGGATGCAAATTATAAATGAACAGAAGGATATATTAACTGGTTGATAAGTTGGCTTTTGGTTGTATTTAGAGGATCTTTCCTTAACATCAAGGGCTAACTATTGTTTTTTAAAATATGTTGGCTCTCCTGCAGCAGATCTCTCATTATTTACTCTGGGGGCATCTGACTCTTCTCCACTAGCTGCAGCTTGTGTAGAGATATTTTCTAATATGCTAGCCTACTCACATAAAGACACATAAGACATAGGAGAAATTTGTTTTTGTTGAGCTGTTAGCCACACTGCCCTGCTCTGCCTCGAACACGTATAAAAAAACCAGAGGGAGGCTCCGCCTTTATTTTTCTTTAATATTGCATAGCCTTCCATTCTGCAAAGTCCTGACAACTCAAAAATACAATAGTGACGTACAATGTGCTCAACACAATAGACGAGGTTAAATAATAAATAGCACATTATATTTATTAATGTACTGTCCCAACATTATTAAATACAAACTGAATAAAAAAAATGTTTTTTTCCACATTACTAAACATGTTTATTATATATGAAAAACAGGAACCTATTAGGTTACCAAATAAATAAAACGTTAAAAAAAATATGTGAAACACTTGATTAACTAACAAACTTCTTTAACAAACTATCATTAACAGACAGGGTAAGTCACTTTGACACACTGTCAGGATTATTTATTTCAGTGGACGCTAACTCTAATGTAGATCTCTGTTTTTAGTCTAATCCATAGATCACTGCTGGGAGAGACTTTAAACTGTTAGCAGAGCTTTTAAACAGGTGGCTCTGGTTCTGGCTGCTCTCAGATGAAAGTTAAAACTTGGCTCTATTAAGGTCATTAACTTATTAAAGCAGGGATCACAAACGTGGTACCCGCAGGCACCAAGGGGCCCTCAAGGACCACATTGGGGCCCTCAGCATCTTCTCAAAACAGAACAAGTCACCAAAGAGTTTGAAATGTCATTTTATGCTGCTGCTCTTTTTTTTTTTTTTTTTTTTTACCATTTATAGAGCATTTTATCAAATAATCTAAGCATTTGTAGGGATGTTAAAATGACAATATCTAAAAGCAACTTAGAAATAAAAAGAAAGAATACAAATATGATTATTATCTATGAAGTTTAGGTGAACGCTGATCCCTCCAGTTCGTAGCCATGAAGTACCCATGAAGTAGCTCAGTCTTAAAACGATTGGTGACCCCTGCATTAAAGCCTTCTCCAGTTACCATGCTAATTGCTAACATATAACTTTCTATATTATTCTAAACATGCAGTGTAATGCCCTCCACTTTTTTTTCTTCTGACACCAGCAGTGAAGTTCTGCTGCTCCTCCACGCAGCGTGGCTAAATGGGCCTATTTAGGAGAACTGAAGGAGTTTATCCAGAGTTTATATCTATTAGGAGAACCACAGAAAGTTCATTCTGGATCCTTGGATCCATTAAACAGTGGAAATAATCCGGACTTTAGTCTGGATCCATTCATGTTTCTGCTCTTGCATGCCTCCGCTCTGTTATGGTATTACTTCTTACAAATACCCGTGAGTCTTTGTTTATGTTATCAATTATTCATATGGAGCAAATTTTAGTCTAATAAACCATTTATAGACAATTATTCGTTGGTGGATTATTTCATTACGTGTCGTAAATTAAACTTTTTTTCTCCTCCAGATCTGCAGGAAAAGCTGATTAGGTCACGGTGTTCCTGCAGCTCTGGCTTGGTACTTTTTGCTGCATCTTTCTAAACCCATCTTGTAGTTAGAAAAGTGGAAGTCGCTACCATATGTGTAGGAACCAGGAGTTCTGCTCTAGAGCTTCCTGTGAAGCCTGAACAAGGGTTCTGGATGGAAACATCTTAGTTATAGGAGATTAAGAACCCACTTTTTTAAAGTTTGGATACAAAGAAAATGCACTAAAATAGTTTTACGTCAGAGCTGTAGAA